CAAATGGCAGAAACATTAGTGCACTTTGGGCCATGCTGCAAATCACAGCAGCTCCATCTGTCAAACCTTTGAAAAACAGCTCAGAACATTTTCCACTCAGGGAAATCACTAGCAAATGATACTTTTATTCAATATGTACTTTTGGTTCTTATTAGACTAAAGGATCTGCCTACTTACACCTAAGAGCCACAGTGTCTATTAAATCCTTATGTAATCTTCAGTTATATAGGCAAATAGACATTGTAGCGCTCGGGGTGTATCTGCAAGGCACGGTGCAGTGCGATGCGAAGGCAGCGGTGAGCAAGCGGGGTGGGCTGGGACCAAATGCAGTGGGATCTTACCGACACTCCGCTTATTTCAGCTACCCGGCCCTGCTGAGAAATAGCCTGGAGTAACCAGGCCATAAGGAGCTGCGTTAACACTGTGCCCAAGCAGGCTCGCTGTAAATTAGCTCCGTACAGCTCTGCATCGCTCTCAGCATTCGTACATGAGCAGTTTTGGACCGTTTCTCTGGGGACTCCAGCAAATGAGCTGCAGGACTTTTTGCGACATCTGGGTCAGTGTGCAATGTGGTTACGCAGCTCCTACATGCTGAAAAGACAAGGTTCTCTGTAATTTGAAATTACTTGCTGAGATGGTGGGATATGGGGTTTCTGCTCCAGTGATCAAGTTTTTCCACTCAGAAAAGGGCAAAGTTCTTCCCTCCTTACAGTGCCAAAGGGGTTATATTCAGTGAGCACAACACTCCAGCTGTGGCCACAGGACAGCTCAGTGTGTTGCCTTAAACCAGACAAGCCCACACATCTGCATCTGGCACTTGGCAAACCACATAGGCACACCTCGCTCGGTGCTGTGAGTTATTTGGGGATTTAGCGTTACATGACACTGTGCCATAGGCACTAGAACTGCACCTACATGCCAGTGATGCTTCAAGTCCTTAACTTTCCTCCTGTAGCTACAGCTTTTCACTTCCTCCGCATCTTCTCTCAGACTCACATCCAAACTATTCTCCCCCTAGCCTTGCACACCATGTGTTTTAAATGCCACACAGCCTGCTATATACTATGCCAAAGACTTTCTGTCCCTCACCAATATCCAAATACTCCTTTAAAACGCTGTGCTAAAAGATACTTGAGTTAAAATGTCGCCACCTACCCGTCCCCATAAATACACTAACCAAACATAAAATAGAACTTTTACACCAGCTGGAGGCTAGTCAGAATGGGATTTGGTGGCACAGTACTAAAACTACTGAGTCCATTAGTGCTAGAAGTAGAACTGTATCAGCAGATAACAGCTTCCAGTTTTTTTAGGGTATGTTTTTCCTAAAGATATCCCTTGCATAGCATTAAAAAAGTTATTTTCTCTGGCGGACTCTGCCTTCCAAATGTCATTTTGCCTTGCCAAAGCCTTTTAAAAACTTAAAAAAGTTATGGAGAATGTTATCATCCTCCTTGCTGAGCCACTCTCCATTGCATGATTTTTTACTAAAACCCCCAGCAGTGTAAGAAGCCTCAGTTGTTTCACCTAGAAGGCACAGGGAGAGAAATGAGTCTCTGTATAACTGCAGCTTTTTATTGTTGCCAAGCTAGTTCCTCAGGCTAACTGTAAGAATGTTCTTCCACACTACACAACATTTCTTTTAAGTGATACACGTCAAGTGAGACTTTGGTCCCAGGAGACTGCCTAACAGTCTTCAAATCGCTTGTTTTGCTGTCTCTTCACTTTACTTTTTGGAGGCAACTTTGATGGCAAGATAGTAGAAACAATAAGACCTGATTAGGAATATAAGACTCCGTAGCAGATCTCAGAATATGAACTTGCCCTGTGGAGGGGAAAAAAAACATGCAGAGACAGGGGATTTGTTGATGTCTGGGCACATCCTAGCCTAATTCTAATTTCACATTTCCCCACATGACTTGAATCAGACTTGAGGCTAGAAAAAATATTTTTAGTTCTGTACTACTCCCATGGGTGGTATGGTAAAATCTGTTTTCTTATCAGATCATGCTCCTGTGGTTTTTGTCACTTATGTTGTCAAATACTCCTATAAAATTCCCCTGACAATAGATCTTACATCAACTTGGGTAATTACTCAGACAGTCTTTGCTTTGACGGAACAAGTATTGCATCATTCATCTGAGAATCAAAAAACTTTGATTAAATAGGAAGTCTCGCAGCCCCGAGCCTGTCAGTGGGTAAATTCTATTGGGACAGTTTTGTCAAATGGAAACGTGTGTAGCTTAAAGACCCCCATACATACCACGCTTAGGGAACGGGGTGGGCTGTGGTGCAGAGTGGCTACTTCAGTAGTGCAGTCGTGCCCAGTAAGGCCTCGTGCGAGCACTCTGTGACCTCCCCACGGTGGTGGCAGACAGACGCGACCTTGCCCGGCAGCACCAGCTCTGGAGGCAGAGGTCCAGGGCAGCTCCGAGCAAGCACGCACAAGGCAAGCGAGCTCGGGGGCAGCCTGGCTCCAACGGGGCCACTTCAGGGCTGCCGTGACTGGACTGCACTCCGACAAGAGCGGGTACGTCTGCGTGGCTTTACACCATCGTGAGACTGGCTTGGGTCCTAGCCAATTTGAGCATGGTGCTCAGAGCATGCTCCCTTTCTTTGGGTGAGGCAGTTCACTCTGCTTTCAAAACTGAGGTGCTGAGTCCTAGATGGACATACGAGTCTGCTGGGTAGTTTACTTTCCCTGTAACACTGCCCTTTATAAAACTGCTGCTGGATCTTCTATATACACCCTGTGCTAACGTGATGTGAATTTTGAAGACCTAATACAAAAGCATAAATACAGTCAATGTTATTTTCAGGTTTTGTGACAGGGAGGATGAAAGGATATCTGATTCTGACTGAATTAAAATGTCTGGTTCTAGGCTGGCATCACCTCATGTTTACATTAACAGACCACCTCCCTAAACATATGCAAAGATTTGATATACTAATTCCTTATATGAAAGAAAAGCATTGATCTTAAAGCACAACAGATGGGTGAATGAGTCTGCAGACTTATTTCCCATCTACAAACTCTGCAATGGCAGTATCTTCCTTAACATCTTAGGTTTTTCAGGGCTAGGAAAGGAAATGTAACTGATTCCCTCCTCACCTCATCATCTTCCTCTCTCTTAAGCCTGGCAAGGAAAATAGCAAAGAGGAGGTGAGGTTTCTGTGCTTGATACACAGTAAACGGAATTATACAATCAGTACACAGAAATCCATAATCAACTAATTCCTGGATTTGATCCAGCCCATCTAGATACTTTCTCTTATTGCCAAGGGGCCCCTTCTATCTTCCATTACTTTCTACTATAATAATTTGTAAGAGTTGCTTCAAATTCTGTATCTGCAGTAACACACACAGTGTACAAAACAAGCTAAGACCTAGGTCATCTAGAGCATTTTCTGTTTTCTTTCTGGTTGTAACGTGACAGAGGTATTGCTGTCCCCAATTTACAGACAGTGAAACTGAGGTCCCAAGACCAAGCAACTAGCCAAATATCACCCAGTGCTGCACCAGCTGCAGCAACTCTTGTTATTATGAAAGTATAAGAAAGGTAATTATTTAGTGTTCACCTGAGGGTGCACTGAGATGCAGTTTCACCCTCTAAAATACAAATGGTAGCTACAATAGCTGCTTTTTACTAGCTCCCCACAGAGGAAAGCTTGGGGCAACGTTCATCTTGCTAACTTTGGGTTGAAAGTTTGGTACTTGGTATAAGCTAGTTGCGTAGGCTCCCGTTCTCTGGTCAAGTCAAGGAAGCAAGTAGTTCCACAGAGCAATACCTCCTTCCCACTTCAAACTCTCAGGATGCAGCTCTTCCTAACTGCTAATTGGACCCAAATCATTATCTTAGGCTTTTTCACATGTGGTAAGCAGAATCCCTCCCTAAGCATATCTGCTAACATGAAAAAAATTAGTTCTCTGTGAAAGCAGAGCGCACATGGTCTCCCTGGAACTACTTCAGACATGTAACTACAGAGACTCTCTTTGAAGAGGGGCTCCATTTAAGAGCCTAAGAGCTTCTCTCTTTCAGAGAGAATAAGACACCTTCAGAAAGTGACTCAGAGAACCCAAATCAGGCACACAAACTTGGCTGGCACGTTCTCCAAGAGCTGCCTAAATAAGTGAACACTGCAAAGTGCCCAGTGTGCTGCCAATTCATACCCTAGCTCGAGACTTACTGATCTCTGTAGGAGATGAGACGCAAGCAGAAGCAGCTCATGCCTTTCTTTGTTTTCCCCTTACTCTTGTTTAGTGTAGCCTGCAGAGGTGTCTAGGCTGCTTTAACTATTGCTGTAATTCAGGAATGCTGGAACATCCTCTATAGAAACAGCTTAATGCTCTGGGATCCTTAAGGATGCCAAGTGTTGTGCAATTACCAAACTTTCTTATTCTTGTTTCTAGACCTTTTGTGGATATTCCCCTCCGTTAATAGGATGCATTAGAAGGCTTGTGAGCACAATGACTCAATCATATAGCATTAACTCCCAATCAGCCTACTCAGCTGTAAAAAACCTTGAGTTTATCTGGGAATGCCGCCATGTCAGTCCCATTTGTAAGTGCAGCCAAAACAGCAGCAATTTCTCTAATTTTTCCTTTTCCTGTATTTGCCAGCAAGCTCTAATACCTACTTGAATTGCCAGACATGGTGATTTGAGCATTTGACCTCCTTCATGGATCATCTGGTACAGGACATACAAACTCTGCTGTGTTGAATAAGACCGTAACTTCACAGTGCACATACAAGCCTCTTCCGTTAAATGAGCCCCCTAGTTAAATTGCTGATGTAGTTAACATTGTAACTGTGTGTCCTGGTTTCGGCTAGCATAGAGTTAATTTTCTTTCTAGTAGCTGGCATAGTGCTGTGTTTTGGATTTAGGATGGGAATAATGCTGATAACACACTGATGTGTGCGAGCAGCTGCGTGGGGCTCAGTTGCTGACTGGGGCTAAACCACAACACTGTGCCAGAAATGTCAGATTTCTCAGGTATGTCATCACAACTGCGGGAAAACAAGACAATTTAGAAACTTGTGATGGGTACCAACCCCTTCCATAAAGGATCTTTTCTTTAAAGTGCTCATCAAGTTGTGCCTTGAAATACAAGCAAGCCTTGATGGTGACTCAAATTGAGTAATACATAGGGACAAAAGAAAGTAAGAAGGGCTGTATTACAGGAAAAAAGTATGTGGTGGTTGGTTAAGGACAGAGAAGAAAACACATTTTTCATGATGCTTTGGGATCATAGGGATGATTAAGTAATAAAATCTTTGACCAACTCAGTTACTTCTCCAAGGGAACAAAGACGACAATTAAAAATGCTGTGTTGGTTCTCATTTGATCATGAAAGAAGCTAATAAACAATGGGCCTCGGTGAGGGAAATTTATCTAATTTTCTGAATTCTTGTAAGAAAAAATAAATCACTGAGTTTTTAAAGTCTAAACAGTAAATTAATTGAAATGTGAAATAATCTTTTCATTGCAAAAATATGGTCACAATCACGATGTCAGCAAACTGCTCAAGGCACTGCCAGTTACTGCTATAAGGAAGAGAAAGAGCTGTTTAACACAGGCCTCGCTGAAGTTTCCCTTGGGGGTTTTCCCATGGGGTGACTGCAGTGGACTTTGGATCAGGTGCTGCATGTGTTTTATTAAATCAGAGAAGTTATTGTTTAATTAAAATTAATTCCATTGATACATACAAAAATTACTGTTTCTAGTTTTTGAAATCCTGCATGACAAGAATATACCATGGATGTCAATTTAAGTGAAAGTTTTATGTCCATGATTCAATGCATTTTATTCCTTTCTTTGGAATTGTGATTTGTTTTTCTTGTCCAAAATTCTGCAGTGTACAAAAGGATGACATTATTGCAGAACATGTTTCCCAGGTCAAAATAAATGTAACATCAAACGGGTCTTAGTGCCAAGAGAATTTAACCAGGATGCTGTTTAAGACTTGACAGATAAGAAACTGGAACAATAAATATTTCTCCTTTCAATGTGTAAAAGCCTTTTTTGATTCCTCAAATTGTCCATTCAGTGTCCCTTTCTCATAGTAATTGCCCCTTTGTTGTTTCCCTTCTGAAACTCCTTCTGTGCAATACTTTTTTGCTGATAAAACTTGTTGTGTACATACTTTGGGGGTAACACTGGTGAATATATTCGGTGAGAAGGAGACGATTCAGATGACAATAAGTCTGGGTTAACAGAGCTTTCTGCCAGAATGCCTCATTAGAGCACCCAGTCTGAAGCCACTATCGCACTGGTGCTGTATAGTCCAATTTAATTGGGCTGAGGGACTGATACAGCATACTGCTCTTTCGAGAAGCAGCGTAAACTCATTCTGTCCATCATGACACTTGGTGGGTTTTTTTTTTTTAAAGTCTTCACACACACCATTTGGGAATGAAATTCAAAGCACGTAGCATTTCCTTTCTCAAAATGCCAAATATTCTGCATGAAAGCTGCATTTTTTCCTCCCTCAAAACTTACCTGTTTTTTTTTCAGAGTTGTTGGCCATAAGTGCCTCGGTTTCTGGTGTCCCCCCTTTTTTGTGGGTAATGTTCCAGATCACACAGTTCTAATTTAAACAGACTGTGGACCTTCTTGGGTGGGACAGATCAGAGCTGAGAAAAATTTGCCGTGCTGGTTCAAACAAGGAGATCAGGGCAACCTGCTTTTCATGCTTACTGCTTCTCATTTGTCATTCTGAAAAGTTTAATACTAATAGGCAAATCTCTAGTGCTTTATTGAGCTTTCACTTTTCACCGAGAGGCAACGCTGTTTTGAGAGCTATTTCAGATCCTCAAAAAGTAATCGCAAAAGCCCCCCAACATAATGCATGAAAAATGCTAGTGCTGAGTTATACCTGTTGCCTTCTAGTTTAATGATGGATTTTTACAAGGATCCTAAGGCTATTTCAATGAGTTTTGTTTAAGTTTTGATGCTGATTGGGCACATTGCAGTTATGTCATATACAAGAAATGCATGAGAACAATGAATTAAAAGTAGATGCAACTGAGTCACTTTTCTACAGTGGAACCAAATCTAATTGCTCTGTTAATAGCAAAAGACCTTGGCCTTCAGAAGGCAGAACTGATTTTTGTATTTTTTTAATATATACATACATACATATATAATTCATCTTGTCTGCATAATTAAGATATGAATTTCTAGATGTTCAAGATGAGGAATTAAGTGGATGCTCAACTTATTTTCCTTCATCTATCCTTTTTAATACTCTTCTGCTACCTTATTTTTTCTTCCTTTTCTTCTTCCCAACTATGAAGCCAGATTCTTGAAAATTGTTCTTTCCAATACGACCCAAATATATTCAAATTGAATCATAGTCTGGGTAGTAGTGAAATTTGGTTGATTGGGAAATGAGGCAGATATATTTCAGGGTTTTTCTTTTGAAGTTTGTGAATCAATTTAATATTCAGTTAGGCGGGGCTTTCATGCCAGCAGAGTTGGAATAAACAGGGGCATTGCCAGTTTGTTCCACACATTCCTTCTGCACATTTGGACCAGATTTCTGAAAGCTGTAAGACTAACTTTGGTTAGAGTTAATCACCTCTGAAGTTACACAGTGATTTTCTGAAGCTGAAAACTGGGGTCTGGGAAGAGATAAAAATTCTTCCTCACTTATAAACTACTCCAGTATGCTGCAAAACAGCAGCTCATTCATTATTTTCTGCTACCACCTTTGTTTATATTGTAACATACCCAAAATGCAGAGTGCTACACACAGAAATGAAAGAGCTTGTATGTAAAAAGAAGAAGAGGTGGGGAAAGAGGCTGAACATGGAGGCAAAATTATTACAGTGGATCGTGGCTGGGTGGCTCTATTTTCAAAAAAATAGGCTTGTTAGAGCAAAGGAGAAAAAAAGTGAGAAAGAAGAGTGAGGATGAGAGGAGAAGGCATGAAAAAAAGAGGAGGAAAGGAGTAGGTTGAGAAGTTGCATTTCAGAGTTGTTGAGACTGCATGATGTCAGGTTCAACGTTTTTAGAGACAGAAATAGCAAGTGAATTCACATGAAGTAAGGGGAGAAAACAAATTTGTTTCAGTTTAGCGTCAAGATCCACCCATCAGATCAGGACTGATCTTCATCAAAATAATGTTTAAAAACCTCAAATCAGGAGTTCCAGAGCTAACACCAAGAGTTATTTCAAAAGAGACCAGAAGATAGCTGACTTCCATAGCACAGTTTCATTTGAATTTTCAGGAATACTACTTTAGATGTTTAAGTAATTTACTACATGCTGTGCTGTACATACTATCTAACCATATGTGAAGGAGCAGCCTTAAAAAGATAAATTCTGTGTTTTCTTGTTAGCCTTAAATTTCAGCTCCTCTCTAATGGTAGACTGCTAGTGCTAGCCTGTCTCTACTTGTCAATTTTGGAAGTCTGATTCTATGACAGGTAAGCATCAGAATGTAACATTCTGTTCTAAAATTATTTAGATCTTTACTCTTCTGCAGGTCATGCCGTTTTTTTCAGCTCAGCCTGTTTTTTTAATCAGTCAGCATACTGAGAAAAAAAACAAGAGGCAGATAAATATAATCGTGAAGAAAATGAGAAGTAATATAAAAATCACAGTAACTCACACTTGGGCTGTCCTTGCCCTTGCTGTCTTTACTGGAAGCTCCACTCAGCTGCTCAATTAAACTGTAATGTGTTAACTGTTCAGGTCCATCCTCTCCAAAATGGCCATAGAGACTGTGCTGGTATAAATCCAAGATTGACATCGGGTTCCCCAGAAATGACTTTCTCTGATTTTGTTTTTCCAGCTCAGCTGTAAGAGATGTTAAAAATAATATCATTATGGCATATTTAATTGATGAAATGCAGTCTATATACATTGTAATGTAATTGTACAATTTGTAAATGTATTTCAGATGTTTTAAGTATCTGGAATTCAATGTAATAAAAGCATTAAAATACTAGCTCCTAACTCTCCAATGAATGCATATACAGGGGACTGTTCATACTTGATATTCAAGGTGAAGGAGATGGTATGAGACAGCCAGAAATAATTTCCTTTCTTTTTTAATTATAGACGAGATAGTTAATTTGGGGGGATCGTTCTACTTATTTCTTTGCTGTAAGTTTTTGTTCTTCTCTCTTAATTGCCTTACATGGCAGATGTACCAAGTTCCTCTAGCATGTCTTTCAGTTTGACTATATTTAATAATTCTTTCCTTTTCACTACATTTTTAGCTAATGAATACAACAGTATAAAAATACACTAGTAAGATAAGAAACAGGTCCTACTCATTTCTTATAGAACCTACTGTAATACAGGAACATTAGAAATAAAACCTGTTTCCAAAGTCTGAGGCTGAAAACTCATTCAGAAGATCAAAACCAAACCAAATAAATTTTCTGCAGCTTCATGAAAATGCACAGGAGATAGAGGCTTACACGACCATTAGCTTCTTTCCTCACACTTCTTGTTACACAAACTTCAACTCTACCTCACAACCTATAGCATTAGAAGAGCCTCTGCCTCCAGTGCCTCCAACAGAACTGCATCAGGATAAAACCTTTAGGAAACTGGAATCAAAACATTTTCATGGCTGAAATGGAAGAATCTGGAATATTTGGCTTATTCCCTGCTATTCTACTGACCTTCTCCGTAACATTGGGCAATGTACTGGGGGTCTCATCCAAAGCCCACTAAATCAATGAAGGTCTTACTGACTTTTAATAGTCTTTGCATTGGCCACTCAGTCTCTCTGTCTTTCTGTTCCCTGCTCCTAAATGGAAAATGAAAATCACTCCAACATTATAATTGTGCAACCAGTGAAAGTTCATTAATGTTTTGGGGACTCATCTAATAAATACAATTATCTACACATATAAAAATATTCTCTAGGAATTGGTTTGCTGCAGCCCCTGCCTCAGCCTCATGTGGATGTTTTGAGGTTGTATCACTTGTGTGCATAGAGAAGCCAAGATCTTTGAACACAGAATGGGATAAAGTATTGCTATTAGTACGATGCAAGAACTGCATTTATAGAGCACAGAACAGAAACCCTGACCATAAGGAATGACCATAGCAGAAATACCTTTGCAATAATGCCTTATAATTTTCTTTTCTGTTTGTCTCAGTCACAATTATGAATTTTAGTTCTGTTACTAGCCCAAAAGTTAGGTATATACACAAAATTAATGATTTGCTATGTAAAATGGGGACTTCAAGTCATGCTTAGGTATCATGGAACTTGGAATCTGCTGCCATTTAATGCAACTGCTTATACACGATAAAATTCTTTTTTTGCAAATTGTGATCAACACAGAAAAAAATGCTTATCTGCCTCTAATGAAACGCATCTTTCTTGTATTAGAACACGATTTGTAAAAAGCAAAATCTGTAAAAAGATGTGTCTATGGGCTGAGTTAAACAACTTGCAACATTTCAGACAGATGAAAAATACAAAGTTACAGGAGTAATGTAAATAAACAGTCCTAGCTTCCTCCTCTGATCTCTCTGTGGTGGAATCACAAAAAATGGATTACCTCTGAAAATGCCAAATGTTTAAGTCCAACTCCCAGCAGATACTAAAGAGCACAGTATGTCTGTCGACAGTATCTAGCCATCCACAGCATTTTTAATGCATTCATCACTGCGGTATCTACTGTAGGTGCTAATCTCTGCTAGGTCAAGCTCACTGCTGTGCAGAGGGTCAGCACAAATCCTATGAATCACTGAAGTACTGCTTAAGCTCTCAGGGCTTCCATGGTGCCGAGACCTTGCACTGGCCTGTGCACTTGACAGAATTTATCTCCTGCAGGGAAGCCATCGGCTGCGTAGGCAAGGATATGAGCCATGCCCTCCTCCCCCTCCCAGAGGGCACACATCTGCCCTGAAAGGTGCCTTGCAGCACAGCGAGCTGGTGGTCAAGACAAGACAGCAATTTCTTGGGTTATTAAACATACAGAAAACTATTATCTCAAGAACTTCACTTAATGTGTTTTTATCTACTGGAATTCAGTGAATTCCAAATTGCCATCAATTCTCGCAAAAAGGTTTGATACTTAAAAATGGCAACATATACACGGAGGACAAGAAAAGAGATTTCATGTGGCACCATAACCAACATCACTTTGATATAGACGTTGGAAAACTATGGCCTTGATCATTGGGTTATTTCAACTGGCTAATATAATTAAAAAGAAAAAAAGGGAAGCTATCTTTATAGTCACCTTTAAAATGCTGCAATAATGTAACAGAAGACTTCTTTTTACTTACACTGCAGGGATTTATGCACAAAAACCTACAAGTTAAGCCCCTGCCAGCAAAAACTGTGGAAGAGAGGGGAAAAAATACACACACAGAATAAAAAGCAAAAAGTAATAAAAAGCTAATGGAAAATTAGACTGAAGTAAGATCTGGGGTTAGAAAGTGAAAACGAGACAGAAAGTTCAATGAAGGACACTATCTGCTGCTGAGTCAGAGTGGAGATGAGGGATATACATTTTTATGGACAAATTTTCAATTACCTTGTTTGTTGTTCTTTGTTAACTCCACTAAAGTCTCCTCTGCAGTCCTAAAATAACTTGTTTCATACTCTGGCTCCGGCTCAGTGTCACTGCTGCTTGCAGAGTAAGTACACACTCTCAGAGCTCTGTCCTGTACGAATAAGGGTATTGCAGTCATTCAGATGATGCATATATATCAAAATAATGACAAAGATGGTATTAGGAGTCAAACATTTAATATTCATCAGGCAGTATAAATGGATAGTTCAACTGGAGAAGAGTCTGCATTACCAGTTTAACTAACCACTCCTCCTTCAACTAAGTAATCGTCAGTCCAACATGGGGGGAATAACACATTCTTGTCCTCATAAGTCTCCCGAGTTAGTCTGGCAGACACAGTCCAGATTTTACCATTTTTTTCACTGTAACATCGTTTTCAAATCTACCAACATTTTCAGATAATTTCATCCACCAATTTTAAAACTTCTCAAGTGTATTTAATACAGTATATTTGTAACATATAAAATTATCACGCAACAAATCGCTTGCTGCAAGCAATTCTAGAGGCAATTAGGATGGCCAGTAGACAATACTCATGCTTTCTCTACCAGTAAATCCTAAATTCATGTCCCTTGTCCTGGCATTTACATTACTGTACTGGAGAGCCCTTAATTCCCAGCTGATTCCTATCCCATTTCTCTTCAGGAAACAACACTAAGGATTTTCTTCTAGGAGTAAAGAGGAATGCTGACAGCTCTGGACAGCTTCTAATCATGGAAGGCCTGAAGCCTTAAACCTTTCAGGAGCAGCAGCTCAGTACAAGAAAACCCACAAAATGGGTATGGGGAAGTTAAGCCTGATACTGCTTAGTCAACGGCATCTACAGGTAAAAATGCTACCTACTATCCTAACCCCAATTGCTTATCAGTGGCTCAAGAGTTTTTAATTCTATTTTTCAAAGAGTGATACTAATTTCCCCATCTTCCCATCCATGTTGCAGTTTTCAACTGATGCAGAAGGACACCCATTTGATAAGAAGCACATACTTGTGGAGAGGGGACCAGACCTGAGGATACTTGCATATAGCCAGGTATGCCCAACATTATGCATAAAACTGGGAGAATGTAAGTCAGTTGTAGTCCTGAAGCCATTTAGACACATTCCCATGCCAGCTACACCCACACTGACCTTCTGACTCTTAGGCAGACTAATTAGCAGTAACACATGTATCGTGTTAAGATGTTTTTGGGACTGGAGGTGGTCAGTCACGACTGGCTCAGGGTGAAGACCACACTGATGTGATTGTTACTTGGAAGCCAACTCTATTGCACTATAGAGGATTCACCACCAGTTTGTCGATGATATACAAGACAAGTAATCTTATCTCTGTTTCTATTCTAAATATCCAGATCATGGGCCATATAAAAATGCAAGATACCCCAGCTGGTAAATACATGGATAAAGCAGACATGCAAAAAAGTTACATAGGAAAAGGTTTTTAGCCTCTTGGAATGTAAGGCTTATTAGCTAGCAGCCCGATAATTTCCTTGCTTAATGCCCACTTTCTTGATAAAGTTTTTTTCTCTCTTTGCTAACCTGCTGACCCTGTACTTCTCATGGGGCTTGACAGCCTGGCATTCCTCAAGATGAGTAACTTGACAACCATACACAGTAGCTTTTACATAGGTATATGCATTTGCCTGTTTGTTCTTTCTGCAGTTTTCATGAAAAGATCGAAGGACAGACAGATCATTGCAGGGATTAACCAAAACCACACAGAAACATGTAAGAAGAGTATTTTCCCTTTCACAATACTTCCATAGCACATCTGCTCAAATGCTCATACTACACAGCCATACAGACAAGGAAACCTCAACCTAAGGAAAAAAAAGAGATGTGAATCTCATGGAAAGCAAGCAAACAAGATCAAGTTTCTTGAAGAGAAAAACAGTGTAAAAGGTCTCCACTTCCTTGTCTATAAAATGCCTGTGAGGTTTTTAATTAAAACATGTCTATAAACCATGAGGACAAAGTACCTTTGGGTACTGTATTATTATTATTAATAAATAATGAGGTTGCAAATGAAGGGCAAGAAAGTAAATGTAGCTGTTAGATTGCTAGTTACTCTTCCCACGAAATTAAAAACATTCACCATTTCTGATTCTTCATACCATAATACATATCTCATTTAACAGATGACACTTCTTAACTTATACCTTTGTTTTAGTAGTTTTCTTGCTGGTCCATTCTGGAAGAACTTTTCTATTTTCCACACTTTCTTCAGTATGCTCTAATGAGGCAGAGGTCACAGAACTTGGTTCTTGTTCACTTTGCTTTGCAAGGTTAATTATTCCTGAATTAAGAGAGACATTATTTAAATTGTAGGTCTCATCAGCATTGTCATGACAGTGTTTCAATTATAATTCAGTAAACACTGGGGGCAAGTCATGAAACTTTCATTATGTCAAATAATATCTTACTACTCAAAGGAGCAACTTACTAACTTACTGGAATAATTCTAACAACTACAGTGGCAGAATTTCATCCAAAGTCTTTTCCAGTTAACAAGAGAAAAGGAAGGCATGGATTTAAATCCCTCTGTTACTTTTAAAACATATACTCTTTCAAATACGAAACAACATCCAATAACTACTTCTAGGCATTGTAGGATCTGCTTTGCTATTTTATGTTCTCAGGGAGAGAAGAGTCTGTTAACATAAATATAATTAGAAGTACCTTTCTAGCAGAAATTCTCAATCAGCTAGCCTTTTTATTTGCTATATTTGCACTATGCAAAATCAGAACATCAAAGAAGATAGATGGCGCATATGAAATAAAGTGATAATTGTAATTTGGATGAGAAAGTGAGGCAGAGAAGAATCGAATGAAAATATTCTAGTAAAGAATGAATTGACCCTACCATCTGATGTATACTACTTTTTTTTAACATCTCTTCATGACAATTTAATTAAGATACAAACCTTACAAGGTTGGTGCAGGGAACATTAGCATTAAGATCAGAACAATCTTGCTACTACTGACTTCTTATGAAGCAATTCAATGCTTGCAGTTTCTGTTCAATTTGTTATAATGACAGTGTTTAATCATGGACTCTATAGCACACTGCTGAATTGAGGTCACACATGTGGCTATTCAAGCATGTAGCATATAATCTATAACTAAGATTTCTCTTCTGCATCCTTCTTAGCTCTACCATTAATTATCAGTACATTTATTTAAAAAATACTAAGTATTAAAATATCTTTTATTTAGCTTTGATTTGAAATGAACAGGGGAGTCTGCAATGAAGCATACAATGTATGTTTGCAGTCTATTATACCATTACAATACTGCACTGGGAATATTGCTAAATCAACTAAGTTCTAAGATGTTTAATTAGAAATCTTCTTTTATGCATCCTATGAACATATAAAAGGGGCTTCTTTCCTCCTAGGCTCAATATACATCAGCTCATTAGCAGAACACATATTTGATGGCCTTAAACTAAGGTTAAACCTGGTATTTAACCTTACATGCTAATTACATGGAATCTGTCTTAGAGTGATATAGGTTTATGCAAGTTAAACGCTCACAACTTTTATAGGAGCAATAAATACTTACACTGACAGAGTGCTAACAACTATAACCCCAATAAATACATGGCATTGCATTTGATCAAGATAAAACAATACTTTTCTCCATTAAACTGATTACTTTTACTGTGGTTTGTACCATATCTATCATGCTGACTATGAAAAATTCCCTGTTATAAATGCTATATGTAATGATTTCTAATGTTATTGACATATATGTTAATCACTCAAAAACCTTCAAAAAGGTATATAAGTGGTCCGTGTGCATTTATAAAAAATTGCACAGAGTTCAATGGAACTATTTAGTAATACAAAGTTATTTGTTGGTGCTTTGCTGGATTGCTAGTCCTTTTATTCCTTTGTCAGCTTTTGTTTTACAGTTTAAACACAAATGTATTTGGTAAGTGAAAGTAAGGTATTTTATGTTCATACATAGAAATGTATTTGTATAATGTAATAAAGTTATGAGAGCCTTGTTTGAGGTCAAGGCCATATACTCATTGGGACAGAATTTATGCAGTGAGGCCAAATGAGTGTTTAGTCCAAATCTGGTTTCAAAAGCAAGTCTTTATGAATATATCTTTTCTATGTCACAACATGGCTACGCTTTGTACTTCACTGCAAAGTCTGATCCTGAATATTGCTGAACGTCTGCATTCTTATTCAAGTCAAATTCCAAGGCTGGCATATGTTTTTCCTTCAAGTTTCTTCATCTTTCTCCCTCAGATAAGCATTATGTGTAACAAAATTTCCATACGGCTCAGGTCACAAATTTGTTAACCTTATGCATTCATAAAAAGAATATCTTCTGCACTGCATTTAACATTTCTGTTATCAATTGTCATTATTATATGACTTCTGCTAATCAAAACAGACGCCAGGGCAGAAATAATGTGATTTTCAGTGTAACTGACATTTTACCTGAGGAAGCTGGTTTCGGAAGGCGACTTTGAAAAGGTTGTATACCTTTGGCAGTCATGGCCGGATCAGATGTTGAGTGACTAATTATGCTTTCCACAGGCTCCTGGCTCTTAGCTGTTGAAGGCACTTCTCGCTCAAGAGTTTTGGCTTTTACTGAAGGAGCTGAAAGAACTTGCTCAGACGGTGCAAGCACTTCTGTTTCCAAGGTTGTTTCTTGCTTAGAAACGTGTCGCCCTGTAGATCGGTTCCCTGAGTCGGGGAGGGGGAAGGTTCCAATCCCGCTGTCCAGTGTCCTCATCTGGCAGCAAGACTCTAAGATACAGGAAAATTGTGTGACAGGGTGAAGCTAAAGGTGTCACTGGTATTTAAAGACAGTGAAAGGGTCTATGGGAAAAAAGGGCATCTTCAGGGGAAGGTTTCAAGGAAAGAAAAACATTTTGCATTTTGTGAGTATGCTGTTACCTGTCATTTGTATGCTTTTGACAAAATACATCTAACTGAATAACAATGAAATACCATTTTGGGGTGCAATTAAACTAACTAACAGACTCCAAAGCATTGAAATTGGCCCGCTTCAGAGTTACAACGTGATAATGAATAAGACGGGCATGTCCTAGAAAGTGATTACAGCTGGAATTTTTAAATTATTTAGTTTGAGGGCCCACAGAAAGTCTGGAGAGTACCAATGTGAGGGATTGAGTAGCGTAATGTATTTCTTCCTACATAAACCCACACGCCACAAAAGCTTGGCCTCTCCATACCTCTGCTTTCTTCATTGTTTCTCTTAAAGAAGGTGTTAACAAAATGTATCATTTATTCTTACACAAAATTAAGGTCTACAGAATATCCTAGAGACAGCCATCTCAGAGCATCCTGAAAAACTTGGATAGCAACAGCCATACCTTTGTTTACCTTGTTACGCTCTGGTTCTGCACATCCCATTTTGGGTAAGTGTACACTTTCTAACACAATGCCAGGCAGGGTTACCTTGAGTACTTGGTTTGGAAGCAGTATGGTCACACACACAGCCCTCCAGCTAATTCATCCTACTGGAAAGCTGCTCTGCTAACTATGGAATAGAGGAAGATGCAAGTACAGATACGTGCACGTTGCTATTCTAGCAACTAGGATGTAACAGCACCACCCTGCCCTGTCATTTTCTATTGATTTCCAGAGACTTGCCTTTTGTTTGTATAATGAGCAAACAATATCGAAGGGACTATGATGGCAAGGTCCTTCTGAGAGGTATAAACACCAAGGAGGGAACTTCAGCACTAATGGTTGGAAAATGAGCATAATTTAGGTTAAACGTCTGGAAACATCCCTTGACAGTGAGATCTTCAGTCTGTGGCAGACACTCCCAAAGGAAGTAGAGGAATTTCCTTTGCTTTGAACAATTTAAGGCTACACTGGATAAAAGATATACTGCAGTGAACAATTGTACTCTAGCAGGAGATGCAGAATATGACCCAATATATCTTTTCGATCTCTATTTTCTGTGTTCCTGAGTATTGATTTTTTTTTTAATGATATGCCCATTTGTTATTTAAGTCTGTTGTAGTTAGCAGTCCTCTGTCAAGTCATTTTCATGACTTTTTTCCTCTGCAGTGTTTCTAATACTCTCAGAAATTCAGAAATATTTCTCCTCTCTGAGCTTTGCCTGTTTGTTGTTGAAATAAGAACATTAGCATGGTCATTTTCTGTTAGTATCTTAATCTCGATGGGTCTTATTTGATAGCAAGTAAGAAATTACCTACAGATAAATTAAATGTCTATTTATGTTTCCTGGTACTTGTCAGAAGAGGAGCAGTCTATATTTACATGGGCCTCATTACCTTATCCTTGTCACTCAGGATCAAAGAAAGACTGAAAGTCTTACCGAGCACATTAACCTCCCAGGGCCTAGCGGAGCTGCAACAGCAAAGCGAACTACGCACTATCTTTTAAAAGGGCAACAAGTGACTCTGATTTCTCTCACACAATTGCTGCATCCCAATTACTTCTTTCCATAGGTAAAAGGAGATAAGGTGTGGAAGCCATGGCTAGCTGGCAACTATGTTTTCCATCGCATTTTTGAGCTAATGTGCCATAATGATTTTAGAAGTTGCTGAAGGTTATCCAGGAAACGTGAAAAAGAAGAGAATTATATTTGGTTCTGCTGCCTCAAAGGGAGGTATCCCAGCCACTGAACCCTCTTACTCTAGTTATCCTTCCCCTAAGATATTTTTCGTTTTGTTTTCGAATAGTAAAATGCCTAGCTAGAAGTGGGTGAACTGTTCCTCTCAGGACATAACAGAGTGCAGAACATTAAGTTAAAATGCTAGGTGTCTGTCCTTGCCATTTATTCTGTAAAAAGTCAAGATTAAACAGTGCATTAGCTCATGGACAGGCAATGCTTCAACTAATGACTATCAGTAACAGAGTTAGTAAATAAAGGAAAATACAGAATAAGAAGGGACTTCTGTTAGTTTCCTCTTGACCAGAAGACAGACATTTGTGCAACACTGGTTATACTGGAGAGGCAGAGCTCTTCAGCAGAGACATGGAATAAACTGGAAGCACCGCAGAAAAGAACATCCTGAAAACAAAAATCTGAAGAGCCTCCCCTCTACTGTCTGTACAGTTAATGCTGGACCTGATTTTGCAACCCAGTTCCACAGAGACTCTCAATGATTTTGTAGTGCTGTTTCCTTTTTGAGCACTCTCTAAGAAACTGAAAAGTCAGTCCCTCCTAATTATTACATGAAAATAAGTAGACTCAAAATGTATACCAAACAGCAAGGCTAAGTCTTCTACTCAGGGTGAACTGGAAGATGAACACTGTTTTATCTTCTAAGGTCACGTTTCTTAAAATGACATAAGGATTTGTCTTGCCCACTGTTACGCTGTCTAGGAATGGACTATGAAAACAACGGCATAAAATGAAGAGAAATGAATACCAAGGGCCATACTTCCAAGAAAATACAGTCTCCCACTGTTCCCAAAATAACTGGGAGAGTGATGGGGGAGCACACCAGAAGTGTCACACTTAATTAAAAGGAAAAATAGTTTTAATCAGTTATAGTCTTTCTTCATAGAGACTTTATCCATGATAAAGGAAATACACCATGTGGAAAACATTTTTAAAAGAGCTCACTAATTTTTAATTCTGAACAACTACAAAAAGGTCTGGCTTTCAAAGTGCTTGAAGCTCAGCAGCTCCCATTGTGACACTTAAAGACAGATTTTTGAAAAATCCCATGACTCAACTATGTTGAGCAATCCTCAAAAACCTAGTCCTAAATCCACTGAGTACACCACAAAATTCTTCATGGATGTTAATTTTTACTAATAAAAAGTTAATTAATTCACCCCTAAAGCTATATTATACAAATAAAAAAAGTATCTCTGAGAACAATTTGTATTACCAAATGAATGAATATACATTATTTTGCGTTGTTTTTAAACTTTTATGAAGCAACTGCAAAATCAAAAAATACATTATACATCTCAGTGACAGCTTTCAAACCGAACCGTTCATGGCCCATCTGATTTCATCAGTTGCACTGACACTTCGAATGACTGTTATCAGCAAGAGCTGCACAAGACTACATAATGAAAATATGTAAAAGTTAAATCTCTGATGCTGCGACAGTACTACTCAATAGATGAAAAATGATTCTGCAGAACATTAAAGTCTGAAAAGAGTTATATATGAGCTTAATCGCTTTTGCTTGCGAATTTTTCCTGGCATACAAGCCAAATTCCTTGCCTGATTCTGTTTTGGATTGCCTCTTTCCCCATCAGGGAAGAAAGAAGCTCACACAATGGTATTAGTTTTTATAGTGGACAGAGATAGACTCACCACTTGCCATTTCACTGAACAATCAGACTAGAATCAGAATTCTGAAATACTGAAATAGCCCCTTCCCTCTCTCCCATCATGTGGGTTTGAGTCTGAGCAGAAAACAAAGTCCCTGAAGTCCTACTGTACAAGAACATTTCTCAAAACTGAAAACAGAAATAAGGAAGGATTTAGAGAAATTTCTTGGAAATCAAGAAACTCGTGACTGCATGTGCATCTTTTGATGACAGGGTGTTTTAAGAGCTTTGTGGACAACCTGAGGAAGACCTTCAGCGCTGAGAAGCTACTAAGCAAAAGGAGTTAACACTGCATAGAAAGTTTTCTGGAAGTTTGCTGAACTCCCTACTCCTCAATAATTTTCAGGTTTAATATTTTCACAGGCCCGATGATCATGCAGTTCATGTCCTACACCAGCTGGACAGCATGGTAATTTGTACAGTTGGACAGGCTTTGGCGTATTCCAACATCACTGGTGTTTTACCAGAGTCTTCTGGTATCAGTAGACCACCAAGACCTCTTCAACATGGAGTCAGCACCCAGATTAGATGGAGTAAAAAGGATCTTTGAAAACTGTGCACCATTCTGAGGGTATGGACAAGAGGAGAATAGAAAAGGGACATACACTCAGGCTGGTAGGTATCAGGAATTCTAAAAATGAAATCGCCACTGGGGAAAATTACAATAGCAGCTCCTTCCATGGGATTTTTACATCTTCCTCTGAAACGCAAACATTAAAGAGCTAGAAGTTAACATAGCCCACTGACAAGAACTGACAACCTAGAATTCATTCAAGCCTTTTAGGGCATTCTCCTGAGCATAGAAAATTTAAAAATTCATTTTAAATACCAGCAACAGATCATTAAACCTAATTATTCTTCAACTTTTTTTATTTCTTATGAAGCATTTGCCACAAAGATACCACAAACACACCACCTCTAGCTCAGAAACTACCCTTGGTACAAATCATTGGAGACTGGGAGAGAATATCCAGGGAAGCTGACTGCTGACGTTGCTTTCGTCATGGTATCGGTCGCTCTGAGAGTGAGAGGAGCTCTCAGTCTGACCTGGTACCATGCTGTCTTATGTTGTTATATAGCACCCCTCTCTGTTACTCTTTTTATACAATGCACGTGAAAGGAAAATCAATTTGGGGGAAAAAAATAAAAGAAAACATAGAACAGCTATTACGAAGGGAGTTGCTTCCAGCACAACACAAGAATCTTGGGTCCAGCCTCCCTCAGGCTAAGTTCTACACTGATGGTTGCAAAATAGGGTATTACTCAAAATAAGCAATGGAGCGAAATCTGTCCCACTTTTAGATTAGGTACATGTTAGTCTTTCTAATGTTGAACTTCTGTAAACCTATGTTGAGTCCCAGCACATATCTAAGAGATTTCATTAATTTAATACAACAGAAGACATAAGGTGATGACATAGCTTTTAAACACAGCTTCTGCCACGCAGTTTT